GAAAAAAATTAAAATCAGAAGGAAGAGAAAATATATTTACAGCACTGTACCGTATTTACTGATATCTATCTGTTTACAAGATAAATCATTCTGAAATGGCCACCAACCAAGCAACAACCTTCAATCTACGGCACATATGAAGCAATTCTATTTTTTCTCATAATGTCATGCCTTTTCTCAGCTTCCTGGAAAACTTCCAGCATCACTAGTGGCACCTCATATGGATCCAATCATGTTATTCAAGGTTTAAGGTACTGCACTAAATGCAATGAAAAATACACGAGAATCCAGAGAGATACCTTTTACCACATGCAATTTACTGGAGAGTTGAACTGCTCATGCAGAGGTGATTAGCTTCACAAGGTGTTTTAAGTGGACAGGATACTCCCAACACTTGAACTCACAAAAACAGCAATGGAAGGTGGCTACAAAATTATTACAGTAGTACAGTAAGCATTTCAGTTAATTTCATGCAGTTATGATTTGATATTGTATCTTCAAATTTGTTTACATCTCTCAACTGTGAATGGCACCATGTACAGTCTCCATTACATTTTTGTGTGTATACATTTTGATAGATATTAACATTTCATGACAGATTTGTATATATTTTATGACAGTGAGTAAAATACACTAGTATCTACATATATTTTATGCATTAATGACAAAGCTTTTTAACTTTTTACTATTTCTAGACTATACAGTTCATCTGCAAGTTTTTTCAAATTGTTGCAAATCTCCAAAATTTTTCCCAATATATTTATTAAAGAAAAAAATCCATGTGTAAGTGGACCCATGCAGTTCAAACCCATGCTGTTCAAGAGTCAACTGTACTTTAAATTATCTCTAGATTACTTACAATACTTATAAATGTTATGTAGTCATCATACTATACTGTTATAGGAATAATGATTTTAAAAAGTCCGTACATGTTCACTACAAATGCAACCATCTATTTTTTTCCAAGTATTTTCCACCTGACATTGGATGAATCCACAGAAGTGGAACCCACAGATACAGAAGGCTGGCTGCATATCAAGAAAATTTATGTCTCACCTCAGCTCAAAACCCTCCCATGGCTCCCTATCCGACTAAAGTAAAAGTCGACGAAGTCCTACATGCTCACTCCCCATTGGCTCCATGATCTCTCTGACCTCATATTAGACTTACTCTTCTTCCAAGTCTTTTACTCCATTACAGCTACACTGCTCTCCTGGTTATTTCTTGAACACTCTAGGCATGCTCCCATCTTAGAGACTTCACGTAGGCTATATTCCCTCTGCCTGGAAATCTCTGCTCAGACTACCTGCGTGGCTAACTCCTTCTCCTTTGCTCCTTCTCAGTAAGGCCTTCCTTTACTGCTATATTTAAAACTGCAACCCCTCGTGAGCCGAGATTGCACCACTGGACTCCAGCCTGGGTGACAGAGCAAGACTCTGTCTCAAAAAACAACAACAACAACAACAAAATGGCAACCTCTGCTCTCACATCCTGGCACTTCTTACTCCCTCCCAATTCACTGTTCTCCATGGCGTTTATAACCTTCTAGTTACGCCATATAATTTATTATATGTTTATTTTGTCTTAAGCTAATAACTACAATGTAAGCTCTGTGAAAGAAAGGATTTTCTCTATTTTGTTCCCTGCCTAGCCCAAATGCATAACGTAAAATAGTGCCTGGCTCATAACAGTGTTCAATAAACACTTAACAAATAAATGCACATATGCTTGGTCACAAGCATGCCAAACCAGTGAAAGGTGATGTGTGGTAAGAAACATACAGCAGACATGTCTGGAAACAAAGAAGACCATGTGGTTCTAGAAAGAGAGTAACTAGCTGTCTGATTCTGACAATTTTCTATCCTTTTAACTCATTTCTTCCAAATCTAAGTTACCTCACGTTTTGCCATAGTGCCTATGGAACATGATCAACCACAAAACTCTTTAGCTTCACACCTTTCAAATGAGTAGGTTCCATAAACCATAAAGGACAACAGCTTTGATACCCTGTAAAAAAATTACCAAGACTTTGTATTATGTTCTGCTAATATAACTAGCAATTTAGCAAAATGGAGGAAAAAAAAAAAAAAAAAAAAAACTTCAGCTTTGTATTTCTGAGCTGAAATGTGAGCATTCTATGGCAAAATGTTTAATATTATCTTTGAGAACTTCACATAAACACTTACAACACTTTAAGCTGTACTGCTTTTCCTTTAAAAAAAAAAAAAAAAAAAAAAAGAAAGCGTATCCTTGAGCAATGGGTAGATTTTTCTCTGAAACCGAGAAATTTCAGTGCACTGCAGAATCAGACTCCTAAACCCATAAAATGAGGAGGGCAAATGTCTAAGGTCTCCAACTCTGAAGCTGAAAAATGTGAGGATGGATAGCAGTTGACATTAACACATCTGCATTCATACAAATAACATATCTACAGTAAGAATGATTCATCCATCCCTGTATTATGAGAATAGATTAAAAACCTGTTGATTTTACAAAAATTAATTTAATACTGAAGACACTTTAGTGAGATCTTTAAAATCTAGCAAACAATTATGATGAAACGGCCAAGTCAGAACTCAGTATTACTATAAATGCACAATATTCTGAGCATTAGATTATCATATATGGTACCATCAGAGGCAAGCAAGATGCTGTTTTTAAAAGGAAGGGAAGATTTACACACTATATGCATGGTTGGTGTTTTTGTAATATTCTTAATCTCTTTACTCAGAATATTAAAATATGTTTTTAAAGAACAGAGAACTGGCCAGGAGTGGTGGCTCACACCCATAATCCCAGCATTTTGGGAGGCCAATGCGGGTGGGTCACCTGAGTTCAGGAGTGAGAGACCAGTCTGGTCAACATGGTGAAACCCCATCTCTACTAAAAATGCAAAAATTAGCAGGGCTAGGTGGCACGCAGGTGGAACACACCTATAATACCAGCTACTCAGGACGCTGAGACAGGAGAATCACTTGAACCCAGGAGGTTGAGGTTTCAGTGAGCAGAGATTGAGGCACTTGTACTCCGGCCTGGGCAACAGAGCAAGATTCCATCTCAAAAACAAACAAACAAAAAAAAACACAGAGGACCACAACAGTATTGGTGTTTGCAAAAGTAAGTGATAGTGATTTTTTTTAATGTTGTTTTATGTTTGCCATATTTTGAATATCTCCTACCAAAAAAAACTTCTAATCAGATTTTAAAAACCTAAGTTGCATTTTTTAAAGAAATCATATACTACACGTTTAGTCTTCAGCACATTAGTTATTTTAATAGGAAACAGTGTTCAATAAATGTCATGTACACCTTATCCTGACTATAATTTTACAAGGGAAAAAATATATTTAAGCACTAGAAGTATGATGAAAATATTTATTTCCTGATTCCATACATACTTCGAGTGCAATTCCTGAATTACCATCTATTACTATCACACCATAAAAGTATCCAAGTACCAATCCCCAGATCAAAAGAATAAGAATTGAATATAATACGTCCGTACCTGTCATGTGATAAATAAATACATGCCTTCCTAGATTTATTCATTAAAACTTGAATCTAAAAGGATGTGAAACCTACGTAGATGGAAATTTACATGCAAGGACCACCTGTCAAAAACAAAGTAGTAATTCCCAACCTTCAGCAGCTTCACTTTACTATTTTTTTCCAAAGGCATCTCTAGTGGCGATTAGCTACACTCAGTGTATATAATAAATACACAGTGGTATAATGAAAGGGAAACTGTTTGCAATCAGAATGCCTAGGTTCAAATCCGTCTCTTACTACCTGTGTGACCCTTCGACATGCTATTAAAATAAGCCTAAATTTCCACATCTATAAAAGATAATACCTACCTATTCCACAGGCCTTTTACAAAGATCAAACGCGAATGTACAGCAAGTGCCACATGTCATTATAGTTGAGGTTTTTATTAAAGGTAAGACTTCTTTTTTAAAAAAAATCAACTCATTACATAGATAATGTCAAACTTTTTTCGCTCATTACTGCACTCCATGACTGCGTTTGATAATGCATTTTCACTGAAAACCGCCAAACAGCAACCAGTAAGGATGAAAGACGCTTATCCCCCCATAAATATACCTAAAGTAGAAAAGCATTTGCACTGATAACTAGAACATAAAAAATGCCAGAATCATTTACTAATTTCCGCTATAAATTCAGCACTCATTTAAAAACATCTAAAAGCACAGCTGGTCAAAAATAATCTACTACCGTCAGTGGGTAAAAAAAAATGCGCTTCAAAACACATAAGGTGTGGACGTCATATCTTATGTATACATTTTACAAGGGTCAGTTTGTTCAAAGTAACCGTATCCAAAACACACGCAATCGCAAAACAAACAGAACCCTGCTTATAGGTGTCAAGGATTTAAAACCAAATGGATCACAACAAAACAAAAGAGCCTTCCCCTCCCCGTTCGGTCAACAGATTCTCGAGCAGCAGGCCAGCCGAGGACCGGGCTTTTCAACAAGGGTCAGCTCACGCCACTCGGCCGTCACCTGGCGGGGTATTTTTCGCGAAGTTTCAAAGTCAACAAAGAAGTTCTGTGGCGAGGGGGTAGGGCCTGGCGGGCGACAGCAGCAGGACGTAAAGAAAGACAGAACCCGGTGGGGGAAGGGTGCGGAAAACGCCCCCGGACTTCAGCGGTGGCGACAGCGGCCCCGTCCTCTGGGCCAGCGCGCTACGGCGGGGGAGAGGGAGGCCCGCAGCAGCCCCGACGCCCCGGCCCCGGCCCCGGCCCCAGCCCCGACCCGGCAGGGTCCCCGCCCCCCTCGGCGGCGCGGGCGGGAAACGGCGAGGGGCACGCGAGGGGTCACCTTCCGCTCCCCGGCCCAGAGGCCCCGCGGACGGGCAAACGGCCCCGGCACCAGCCCCGCCGCGATCCCGCTGCCCGCCTCGAGCGCCTCGGGCCCGGCCGGGGCACGAACCCGGGCGCCGACGCAAGGGCTCGGGCGCGGCGGCGCCGCCGACTTACCTTCCTCGGCGGTGTCCATTTTGTCTTGGGGGGCGGCGGTGACGCAGCCAAGAGGCTCCCGCGGCCGGGCGGGGAAAGAGGGAGGGGAGGAGGAAGAGGGAGCTGGGCCCGGGCAGGTGCTTGCGCTCAGGTGCGAGAGAGGAAGCCAGAGGAAGGAGAGGGGAGAGGGAGAGGGAGAGAGGCTGACAGAAAGCTAGCAACAGGGGAGGGGGAGGGACGGGAGCGCCGAGGGGCGAGGCCTGGGCGGGGCTCCGAAGCGGAAGAGGCGGGAGCGCCCCAACGACCGACGGCGTCACTTCCGGCAGCTGCGACGCTCACGCACTGCGGGCGGCGGATGCGGGGAGGAACCCTTGCTGCGGGGCGCGGCGAATCCCTGCGGGCGCAGGGCCAGCTGGACTAGTCGCCGAGGCTGCGCGGGATCGCGAGGCCGAAACCTAATTAGGAGCTGAGCTTTGATGGCAGCCTCTGGAGGGACAAAGAAGACGCAGAACTGCGGGAGGTGGGCGCGAGAGCCTGGCGCCCGCACCGGCCGACGTGCGAGACTATGGTCCCTGCGCGGGTGTCCTCGGAAGGCCGGGAGGTGCCTGTTACCGTGCGCCCCCTGCTCCCGCCCCGGGATGCCGAGGCCGAGTGGCTAGAGTGGGCCTAGGCATCAGCATTTCTGTTTGGCGCCTGGGCAGTTGTGGTGCACGTTTTGAGGAAGTACTAAAGCCTCACTGAGATCAATAAGGCAAACGCTGACTTCACCAAAATTACTCCCAGGGAGACTTCTGCATTTGGCTGGAAGAACTATTTGAGTAAACCGCTGAGGCTGGGGTTTGAAACATAATCCTCCTCTAAGGGAGATCGGTTCCAATACCCTGAGTTAGAGACGCTTGCCTGGGCAGAGCTAAGGGAAGAGTGATCAAAGACCAAGCTCTGCGCCTGTCAGCACGCCACCCTCCCTCAGTGTAATCCTTGACTGTTTCTCTAAATGAAGAATTACTTGGAGAATACAAATTAGAAGGGCCGCCGCGTTAGAATTGGCTGAGTGGGAGCAGTCTTTCCAACCTCGAAAAATGTTTAAACGATATGCAGATGACCTAGCACAAATAAAAAATGCTAGCAACCGCTGTTCTGTGTGAGTAGAGGAATTGGGAGGACCCCTCTCCCAATCTTCATCAAACAGAGTAAGGTTTAAAATAAAAATAATGAAATACAGCCCTTCAAAAAGAGCGGTGCTTGACTAATGTTACTGATGTCACTCAGGTTACTCAAGGCAGGAAAGAAATCTAATTCTACGTAGTAACCACTGATTTCAAGGACTGACCCTGAAAATTAAGCAGACAGCCATTCTTTAAATATATTTTTTGTTGTTGTTTGCTTATGACTTTCTTTTTTTTTTTTTTAGATGGGTTCTCACTCTGTTGCCCAGGCTGGAATGCAGTGGCGCGATAGCGGCTCACTACAGTCTCACTATGTTGACCAGTATGGTTTTGAACTCCTGTCTTTAAGCGACCCTCATGCCTTGGCCTCCTGAAATGCTGGGGTTACAGGCATGTGCTGCTACGCCCTGCCTAAATATGCTTTTATATACTACCTCTCAAACTAAATTTAAAGACAGCTTTTCCCCCTAGCCCTTATCCATCTGATCCAGTTCCAGCAAGAGCTCACCCTCCTGTAAGACCTGTAGCAGAGCACTTGTTGGCCTGCTGAGACTAGGGCCAAAGATCAGGACCATCAGACCTATAAGATGTTATATAGCATAAGGGCAAAGCATTCTGAAAGAAAGACTGAGACATGCTGGAGGAAGTACATTCTGTTAATCCTAACCTGGACCCTCGGAGCCGGAGCCAGGTTAGGATTAACAGAATGTGTGTGTATGGGAGGGTGGGGTAGGAGAGAACCTTCCTTTTGTCTCTAGGTACCTTCCCTTGTGATGCTCAAAGAAAGTTAACCTTTTAACCAGTTCGCCCTTCTGCATAGTAATTCCTTCTGGAATTGCCCTGACTTTTTGCATTCAGACTTTAGGCATTAAACGTGAGTAATAAACCAACGTTTGTTGAGTCCTCACTGTGTGTCGGCACTGGTTCTCACAACAGTCCTTTGAATACATGAGTCAGTCATGCCTCTCTTGATTGTCATTGAGAGGACCTCAACTGTTAGGCAGAAGGGACAAATGTACTGTTGATATGGACATACGGCAAGAAGGGGGAGACTGCAAGAAGGGGAGGTTCTCTCCACTCCCCAATACATTCCATTGATCTTAATTTGGTTCTGGCTCTGAGGGACACATACCTGCTCTTAGCACTACTAGTTCTTCCTCCAGCAAGTCTCAGTCTTTCTTTCAGAATCCTTCACCCTTATGCTATAAAACATCTGATAGGTCTGACGGTCCTGACTACTAGAACGAGACTGCGTCTCTGCCCCCATGCCTCAGCTCTGCCTCTCTGCACACTGGCTTCAGGCTGTTGGACCAGCATCCTCCATATGTCTGGAAACAAGGCCACTGATAGCTCCCAACATTTCATCTTCTGCCTCACCATCAGACAGGCGAAGTAAGGGTGACGATCTCTAGTCCCAAGTTAAAAATTCTCAGGGAAGGATAGTTCATTAGTCCAGTGAATTGCCTGTCCCTGAATCAAATGACTGTGCCAAAGATCTGGGATCTTTAAGAACATGGACATTGTCATGTTCTTGTAACTGCCATGTTCAAGTAAGAACAATGGGCATTACCTTATGGAAGTCGAGAAAGACCGTTTCCCCCAAGAAGGGGTAGGACAAAACAGTGGATGTCCATTAGAATTAGAATTCTCATTGTCTAATCAAGAAAAACACTTTTTTTTTTGAGACACTCACCCAGGCTGGAGTGCAGTGCACGATCTTGGCTCATTGCAACTTCCACTTCCCTGGCTTAAGTGATCCTCTCAGCTCAGCCTCCCAAGTAGCAAGTAGCTGGGACTACAAGCATATGACACTCAGCTAATTTTTGTTTTTGTTTTTTTTTGGGGGGGGTAGAGATGGAGTTTCACCATGTTGCCCAGGCTGGCCTTGAACTCGGGCTCAAGCAATCCGCCTACCTTGGCCTCCAAAGTGCTGGAATTACAGGTGTGAGCCACTGTGCCTGGCCAAGAAAGATGCTTTATTAAAGACATAGTATACCTACAATTCCAGCCTGTGTGTGTGTGTGTGTTTACTGTGCTCTGAGAATACTGTGGTCTAGCAATGCTGGCTTTCCATACAGCAATAAGCAATGAGTAAGAGGGGAAGTGTAGGAGGACGCAGTGTAATTTTTGAGCACTAACTGTAACAAACTAGCAATGACAACTAACCAAACTCCCTATGACGTCCAGTGAACATCCATAGCAATCCTGTGAAGTAAATATTATGCACATTTTACAGATAAGGAATCAGACTCACAGCTGATAAGTAATTAGCCCTCAGTCATACACACAGCAGGAAAGGAAGCAGAATTAAGCGACAGGACTGTCTGACTCCAGGCCTCCCAGTTTTAAACCTCGGGTTTGCCATTAGCAGTTACTCTCTTTACACTGCCTTTTAACTCAACTTTTTTACTGTGAAGTGGGTTTATATTAAAACATGTGACTTGGCCCGGTGTAGGTGTGCACCAATAATCCCAGCTACTTTGGGTGTCTGAGGCAGGAGTCTCTCTTAAGCCCAGGAGATTGGAATTTCAGTGAGCTATGATCAGACCACTGTACTCCAGCCAGGGTGACAGAGTGAGACTCCATCTCTAAATAAATAAATATGTAAATAAATAGAACCTTTGGCCGGGCGTGGTGGCTCACGCCTGTATTCCTAGCACTTTGGGAGGCCAAGGTGGGTGGATCACCTGAGGTCAGGAGTTCAAAACCAGCCTGGCCATCATGGTGAAACCCCATCTTAAAAAAAATAGAAAATAAAAATAAATAGAACCTTTGAATTTACAGAATTGCTGCTGAAGAAGCATGGATATGGTAATTAGGTAAAACACATTACCGTATATTAATGTTATTGACATTAACAGATTACTAAAGGCAATTTATGGCGTTATCTTAATAGTAAGCTTTTCCCCCTCTGTTCTCTTTCTTTTTTCTCTTTCTTTTTCACCTTCCCTTCATTCCATCATTCTTTTCTGTTTCTCTTACCTTACCCTCATGAGACCCAATAGTGATGGGGCAAGAACATGGGGACTGAAAAGAGGGCATGCAGGTGGCAGAGAGAAGACTGGTATGAACAGACAATTGATTATATTGAGCAAGTAAGTAAACATATTGAGACGACTGATGGCCATGTTTTTCCCTGTTGGAGAAAATGCAAACATGGAGAGGAGGAAGGCTAGAAAACCCTGAGGTGTTGATTGATTGGAAATGTACGTATCATTATGAACTCACTTTTTAAAATATAAATAACTATAGAAATATATATGGATGTGTATGTATCTCTATATATATTTATATATGTGTATACACATAGTATATTTTACGTATCTGTACTAGGAAATAAACCTATTTCCTGGTGTCATCCTATGAGAGGATCCATATGCAATGATAACCCAGTAGCTGAGCACACTGATTATACATATTTTGGTTTCTAATCCCATGCTCCACTAGGAGGAACCAGCACTCCTTGAAGACATGACAGATTTTAGGGGTAGAGTAGAAAAACAACGAGATGAGCCTGGAACATCTTGTGCCAGAAGTTAAGGAGTGTTCAAAGTCTGATAGGCATGTGCTACATGGACACAGAACCCAGCTCAAAGGGGCTCCAGTTGGCCAAATTATGTACAACTTGACTACAAGAGTACTTACGGTAGCATTATAGTTTATTGAATGTAATAGGAATTCACAAGCTCATACTGATGTAAATAAATAAATGGGGAGAAAGAAAAGCTGTGCATTTGCATTATAATGCCAACCAATCAATGTGGAAGGAATGTTACAAATAGAAGATCATTGGCCAACCATCACAGTGGAGTGACATTTTGATGAGGAACAGAATTTTGGCATGTTGTTGGAATATTTTCCAAAGGTTACAAAAGAAAAAATAGTAACTTTACAATGAAGACATCAACATGACTTGATGTTTAACATCACCAGTGATGGAGTGGATCAATGTAATGAGAAAAGCAAATTATGCCAAGAAAGCATTCCTGAGTCTGGTTATGAGGAAACTTCAAACCATCCTCTGGTTATGAGGATGGCTTCAGTTGGGGGTCATCCTACAGAATGTATTTTTCGAACTACTAAGGACATGATTAGACAAAGACCAAGGGACTGTTCCAGATTGGAGGAGA